CTTAGTTCTTTATGCACTTTTTCTCCTTTGCTTTGCAGAGTATTGGTTTTCCAATATGACCAAAGATGCCGATAAGACTGAAGAAATTCTCTAACGAAGCCAGAAAAACCCATTGGTGGGGATAAGAAATTTGATAGCATCAGGACACGACGTCTGCGTAATTAAAATACTTTAATATCTCATTTTCCGGGAGCAGGCGAGAGAGCGGTGAAGTTGGGTTGGAACAAAATGAAAAAGCAAGAAAAGAGGAAAACGGGAAATGAGATAAGTATCAAGATCATTACTGACAAAAAAATAATAACTGGATAAAGTTCGGTGAGAGACTTTTTTCTCTATTTCCCTCCACCGTCGAGTTGTTATCTTTGCACGAATAAACTTCCTACAGTATTTAGAAGAATTACTTGTATTTTTGTCTCCCCGGAATTGATATTCAGTTTAGTGGAAGCAGGAAATGTCTATTGAGGATTTGAACGTTTTGTGACTCGAATCTTTACAGAATTTCTTTCCTTTGATAAGTTATATCAAACTACTTCGAACATCAAACTCATATTGTAGTGCGGGAGTATAAAGGTTTAATCAAAGTATGGATTATAATTGTTTAAATATTAACAAAAAATGATAACTTCGCCAAATGTTTTATTACTGTTTTTTTCCGCTAGAAAAGAATGTTCAGCTACATATTGCATCTATAAAAGTTAAGGGCTAAGTTCGTACAAAACCAGAAGTTGTAGAAAATAACATTCTTACATTTATTCTTTAAAGTGCAATCCTTGCTATTTCTCTATAATACGTTAATACTGCTTATAAGGTATTTTATCTCTCCTTTCCGCATGCCTTCGGGGTGTAATTGGAAGCATACTCCACGCCAATTCGAGAGTCCCGGAGAGGACATTGCACATTTTTCAGGCCTTCAGCTTCAAAAAAAAAAAAAAAAAAAAAAAAACCCAATAAGTCTACAAGCTATTTATTCGTAGAATTAGCTCATTAAATGTCTGGTCACGGTTTTCCTGACTCGCTTCAGTGCTATTAAAGTAATGATGTTTTAAGAAAGAATTCAGTTTAGTGAAAAGATATAGTCTACAGATTACTACGAAATGTGGTGAGCAATAACTGATAATTGGATACCTTTCTTTGCTTGACGTAAATGGAATTATGCCCCAGCCCATTGTCATGCAGAAGAAACTAGTTATTTGACTGAGCTTCTTCAGACCAAACGCTTTGAATGGTTTTCAAAAGTTTAATCATTACGTCTTTATAAAATGTAAAATTCATTCTCAAACAGGTAGCTTTTTTAGGTTCATAGAACGTACGAGCTGCACGCAACTCGAATCCGCCAGTGAAGCGCACACTTTGAAAATGTACTCGGGAGCAGCTGTCCAACCGGCAGCTCCCTCTTTTATTTCAAAGGCGCTGAATCTTATCTCGTGCTTTCAGTATCCTTTCAAAACTCATTACATTCCCCACGGCATCAGCGTCGGGAGGTAAGCCTTCATGTGCATCAAGAGGCTTGCGTGAGATGCAGATACAAGAAACTCATGTTTCAGGTTTTCTTACGTATCTGGAGGCCGCACACGATGCCAACTGGACACGGGCCAGCGACACGGGGCCAAACTGCTTGCAGACGCGCTGAGAAGTTTTCGATTGTCAACCTCGCCTTGAGAAGACGAGGGGGCCCTAGGGACAAGCAAACTAATACGCATCTTCTTCAGGAGGATAACCCACTCATCCATCACGAAAGAACTTCGCAAGAGAGTATGTATGAAACCGGTGGAAGACAAGTACCGACCAGAAACGATAGCCATAGCTCAACCGCACGCCAGTATTTTGTTCGTACCACAGACCTAACGTTGTGAAGGAACGGCCGGCTGCATGCCGAATACGAAATGAAACCAACGCATGTCTCCGTTGAAGAGCTCAGCGAAGCGCACAGACGAATCCGTCAGGTCTGCTTTGAAGTCGGAGTGGTAGCCAAACCCTCGAAATTTCACCAATATGGTCTTTACTCGAGATTTATATACCGTCGTTCCTGAAGTCGCCATGAAATTTCTGCAACCCAAATAGAAGAGGACTTTTTATATTCTTGGGATTATAAGCAAAATGTATGCTTCAGCATCATCAGCTACCAACTACCGACATGTAAATATTTTACTGATATCGGGAACGAGTTTAAGACAAATGATGTTTTTAATATATATGATATTTTAAATGATTTTAAAAGACTGAAAAAATTTGCCAGGAAAATAATGGAGAAGATGATAAGCTTGCATTAGGGATTTTAATTTTAATTTTGTTTTTTAGTTATGTTCTTTATGTCTGTTTGCTGAAGGTGCTGTTTCTAGCTTGCTCTGGTGCAGCCCGCAAAAACGCCATAGGGCGACGTAAAGTCTGCCAGGAGGGCCGGGCTGCGTCCCTCATATCATATGATATCATAACAACTACCACATGTTCATGATATTCCAGGCGCCAATCATACCAACTACCGACGCACCAAAGCATCAGTATTCATCTTCAATAACAATTTGTTGAAAAAATAAGCATAAACCACCGTTTTTTAGAGAAACATTTTTATTGTTCTTTGTTAAGTTTTTATCTATAATATCAAATTTCATTGAATCATAGCAAACGGTTAACTACGTAAGATATTCCATTCGTAAGCAAAAGACAGCTTAGGAAATTAAGTCTGAGATGTCATTGCAATAAATTATGTGAACTGACTGTTGCCAGGCTGGCTGGGATGTGCCGAAAATTAAATCTGCAGATTTGTAGATCCGCCATTGTAGATTCCATACATACACTCTTGTAGAATATAGATTCACCGTAGATATCTGTTATAATACCTTTTGATATAAAACATATTCTGTGGATATTACTCGAAAGCACACGAAAGTAAAAGGTCTCGCAGCTCAGGGAGAAAACATCAAAGTATATTCAATAAGTAGCATGGTCTTAAAATAAGATGATTAATTTTTATAACATAGAATTTAAATAATACAGGAAGTCTGCGTGAGCTTAAAGATGAACTGTTCTGCCTGGAAGGATCTTGGTAATCAGTAGTATAACAGGCAATATGTTTCGTATTTTTATCTTGGTTTGCATTCTGTATTGTTTGCGAAGTTTTACAAATAGTTGGCGAAAAGTTGCACTCAAGACTAGTTAATTATTCCACATGTTTCTTTAGCCTCATTAGCTTCACTATATTTTACTTTATCATAAGATAGCAACGCAGTTTTCAGCTCGAAGATGGTTCTCGGAGGGATACGGCGAGATGAAATTGCTCTTCAAAGAGCATGCCAGACATGCTGTATAGGATTAATCCATGCGGCAAATATCCTCCTTTTCCATGTAATCTTCGCCCAGCTGAGCCCTGTGTAGACGAGCGTTTTCGTGAATTAATAGGAATGCAGAACCAGCTGCGCTCTTGAAATGTAGAACTTCAGGCGCTAAGTTCTCTTCTCTATACCTCATAGTAGTTAGAGAACCTTTGTCAAACACATGCAGGGGTGTGCGGCTGTCTAACATAATGCCTGCTGAAACCAAACCATTACACCTGCACCACCGTAATGATCCTTTTCCCCGATGAAGGAGGTATGGCAGGGTGTTCCAGACTCTCTCTAGATATACGAATATGCAATGAATGAGCATCCAGGCGGAATATCACCTCGTCTGTTAAAAGCACCATGCTCCACTGAAGCTTTGCCCAAAGCTCATATTGTCTGCATCATGCTAGATGCCCTGTCTCGGGTACTGTAGTAAGTGAGACGCAAACAGCGGGTTTTCTGGCGAAGATGCCTATCTTATGAAGCCTTAGGGCAAATGTGTAATATTATGTAGTATTATGTAAATAGAATATTATGTAGACCATAAAACGTGGGTTCCATTGGCAGCATACAGCTTACGTGAGGCTATAAAGCTGTAGCAGATCTGTTTCGCCACACTAAAAGTGCAATATAGCAGTTATCTTTCATCACTGTGGATCTTAACGGACTTTGTATAGGTCTATTCGATATGGATCCAGTGTATTGAAGCTGTTTCCGCAAATTGCAGATGATACTGGGCGCTACATTGAGCTGTGTAACCCCTCGGGCTTGTGACTGCCCTTTTTGTAAACTACAGACATTCTCCATCTGATTCCGTAATCCATAGATGTGTGGCTACTCCTTTTATTTGTTAAAATTTACTCAACTCGTGCCGGAAACATTAAATGTCGTGAAGGAATACGAGCGCAAAAGTCGCCAGGAAACCCCATGCGCTTCTATCCCTTCCAGAATCACAACTCCGCAGACACGTACATCTAAACTTTTGTATTCGACTCATAATTATTCTATGGCGTAATTAGTATCTTCAATTCAATGCGTTTCTTAAAAACAGATATTAAATGCAAATTTTCTTAATTAACTCACGAGTGTGCTACTATCTGCCCCAGTTTTGAAGTAACGTATTGTACACTTGATTCAGTGCTCTTAACAATCCTGAAAGCTTTAGTAGGATACCTCTTCTATTACTTGTCGCACGCTATATATATATTGCACACGGAGTCCATAGAATAAATATGATACAAAATTAGGAAAATGGGTGATAATTGCTTTACAATTAGGAAAATGGATGATACTTGCTTTACAGTTAGGAACATGATGATATTTGCTTTACGCCTATTGACTCGTAAAGGTTTTAGTTTGAAAATGTAATTATTATTATTATCAGACATTAGATTTTATTATAAGCGTATTATTTCTAAGATAAAATGGAGGAATAACCAAATCAAATAGCATACTTAAGTTATTGAAATTAGGGTTTTATTTTACACATTTTTTATATTTTATATAAACATTCATTTTAATACCTGTAAAAAATGGTATACTCTAGTAAGAAATAATAATTTATGACAGGGAAATAGTAATTTCAAAAGATAAGTTGTCGTACATACAATAAATATGTTGAGATAATATAAGATTCATTGATGCTATCTAAAAATGTGATTTATACACCATAACTAATTTTACCTTGTATGCCCGAAATAACAGGTAAAGTTCTCTTGGCTTAGCGTCCATTGGTAGACCACTGACGAATAATGTTCGAACCTAGAAAAGAATCAAATTGTGAGCTACATAATTAGATATCACTTTGTACCACAAACGTTTTGAATACACTACTATATGCATACATACCACATACATAAAACTTATAATGTACTTATAACGTAAGTGCCAAATACATACGATACATACTATACATGAATATTTAATGGAAAACACTTTTGCCCACCAGCTGTCAATCGGTCACTGAACATTGGTAGTTCTGTCCTAGGTTCAAATCCTGTTAAATGAGATGGCTGCATGATCGTTTTCGTGGTTTTCATCATGTATAACGGGTATAAGAGTGTTCCACTTAGAAAATCCTCCACGAAGGCATCCCTCCCTTTAAGAAGATAGCCTTCAAGTGCTTTGCCATAAATAAATAAAGCAAACCAATCAGATTACTACTGTTAGCGCAAAATTCTTGTTCGAACTGTTGTTAGTATGAAATCTGATCATAAGCAAAGAGCATGAAGGAATTCTTTTTGTGTTTACAGTTAAAAAAAAGCAGACTTGAACAGATAGCAGTGTAAGTGAAGTCCAACTTGATTTTAAGTTTACTTCTGTAAATGTTGAGTAAATGCTTGAGCATAAGCACGATTAGCAAGGAATCACTAAAGATCAAATCTGACCCTGCATTCTATAAAAAAATAAATTATTCAGATGTTTAAAGGAGAGATCTGTAGTGTACAAAATAATATTAGATGAAGAGCCATGAAAATTAGCCAGATCTTTAGGTAATATATAACTGAATTAATTAAACTGCTGTTCATTGAACTGAACGATGAGCTTTTGTTGTTTTAAGCGTCTAAATAATTATATTTAAACATCCGTTCATACTAATTATTTCCAGTGTTTCTAATAAATGATTCAAATAAAATACCTAAAATTTAACTTGTAAATAACTGTGATTTTTATTCCAAGATTTACGATGGTTTTACGCATTGATATCTTTGTTTTTTGGAATGAATTATTTCTATTAGTTGTGGACACGCTTTTATGAATAATTAGAATCGTTAAATTCAAGCTAGTTAGTAGAATGCATATTTAAAAAAAAATGTTTTCTTTTTTCCTAATATATTAGTCAAATTATTCACGCTACGTTTTAATTTCCTTCGGAAAGCGAAGGCTTGGGAAGAAGATGATATATAATCGAGCCAGTAGATTAAATTTTAAAATACCTTAAGAAATAGTTTTCTGTTAAACATATTAAAAAAAAACAGGAATAACGTGAAAAGTGTTGCGCATATTCTTGAAGTTAAATGGGGAAAAGGAAGTATTTTTTAAATTTAAAGTTGATCTGTTCTTTTTTTCTAATACACAACGAAGTTTAAAAAAATAACACCATTTAGCCACACCAAATTCCGATAAGAACACACCAGAGTGAAGGATAAATGCTCTTTAAAACGCATTAAGAAAAAAAAATGCATATATACACCAAAAAATAAAATTAAAGTCTAAAAAAATACAACGTAAATGAAATGTTTCGTTTTAATTCATTTTCGCTGGGAGAAAAAAAAATTAACGTAAAATCACGCAAGGGAGGGGATGATGATAAAAAAATCAGAATCTGGCCCCAGACTCATCTAACGCTGTTTCCAAAAAATTACTTGAATAAAATCGTTTTGGAGGCTATTACGGGGTTGCTATAGTAACCACGCTTACCTTAGTTGCCGTAGAAACCGCTCGTTGCATGGCAAACCCCGCATGATTCCTTAGAGTTTCTAAAATTTCGGGCCTTTAGTAAAAAATACGAAGATGTGTTGTTATTTCATTTCATATATTTTCTTAGAAAAACTGTCATAGAAAATTAACTTGTATCTGTTACGTAATTTTTAGACATAGCAATGATTTTACAGCATGTTTTGTTAAATATTTACGAACTGGATTATCTGTTATAATGTTTTTACTGAAAGGTTGTTAGTATAATTCAGACTTAATTTGACCTTTTGTCAACCGAAACACCTATAGCGTGCGTCTTGTTATTGTTGAAATATAAGTTTCTAATCAAAATATTAAATTGATAATTCACCAATGTCTCTAAGCACTTCCCTTTAAACAGAAAGAAAAAAAAGATTTACACTTTATAAGGAAATAAGTCAACACAATGAACATCTTTTCTGCAACATGGATTTTTTTACGGATACCACTTGCAAATGCGAATTACGCTAAATAAACCAGAATAACTATTATTTTTATAATTAATAATTATTTCCCATTCATTTAACATACGATAGATACAGCCATATGAAAAATATATATTGCACAAAACGGAAAAATATGCTACCCTAAGTATCAGTAATAACATTGTGTTCCTGCAAGAAATATCAACTTATTCATTATATTCTTATGCAGAGTCGTGACATAATTTTCGTGTGCATTCCAAGCAGACTGGCATTTTACAGCTTACGCATAAAAATAAAGTATTTCATTTTTTCTTTCAGAGGGCATAAACGGCACATTTTTCTTGATTCCAATTCAGAAAAATCTGATATCGTGGAATGTGAACTTTTATTTGCAAAATCAGCGGTAAAGTCGCTGAACACCGGTAGTTCGATCCGAGGTTCAAAACCCACGAACAGGCTGGGTGCATAGGCATTTTAGTTATTTTCTCCATGTGTAACGTGTTTCCCTTAGAAAGTCCTCCACGCAGGCATCCCTCCCCTTAGGCAGATAGCCCTCGATGCTTTTCCGTAATTACAAAAACCAAACGAAACAAAGCCATGACCATTGATTAGCCTCTGTACACTGGAACTTTTGATGAGATGTTAGAAAATGCGCAACGTGAGTTTTTGATGATATTTCTAATGGCATACCAAAAATATACAACAGAGTTGCTCGGCGCACATTTTTTAAACACCTCTAGCGAATTTAAGCATGATCAGCCTCTCCTTTGAGCACAATCAGTCTTCTTCTTCCCAGCCAAATCAGTTTTATTCAGATATACACGCCCGTGTATTTTAAGGCATTTTCTCCTTCCTTCCAGCATGCCTTCGTGGTGTAAGGGTAGCACATTCGGCGCGTATTCGAGAGGTGCAGTTTTGAGTTTCGGCGAGGGCATTGTACATTTTTCACTTGTCTTGCTTCAAAAATTCCTATTGAACATGCAGCGTAATTAAATTTCTTTCATCATTTTTATTCCAATTCTACACAAATTAAAGGTTGCTTTTATGCCTAATTAAAAATTTTGCACTGGTATGTTTCTCGTCCACTTCGATACTTCATATCAATTTAGAACTGAAGGAGGTTTGTTTGTAGATTATAAGCAAAATTATTTAACTTTCCTCAATAATTATGCTTTTTAAAAAGCTTTACGGTGCGATATTTTAGCCATAACCTTATCATTCTGCATTTTCCAATTTCTAAATACATAACAAATATCTTATATATAAATTCAAAATGAAAACTGCATTTAAACCCGTTCTATTGAAAAGATATTTTAGAGAGAAAAGGGTGAGACATGTTAGGAATCATTGTGGCTTGTTATTAATAAGCATATTTAATTATTATTAAGCAATAAGCCTCACGCCTTAAACTCTGAAGCTCCAATTCGTATTATAAATACCATTATGAAACGAAGCCACTTTCACCTCTTGACATAATCTTTAACAAATTTTGCCTTTAGGAATAATTAATAATTTGCCATAAGTAATAACACGAAATAAATTTTACAGATTTAAGACAGTAGCTATTTATTTCGATAACTAAATTTATGAATGATTAAATGTGAGGTAATTTAAGTTAGTAGATATGAAGGGATTATTATTATTATTATTATTATTATTATTATTATTATTTTGTATGGTTGCTCCAGTACAATTTTCTGTAGTATACATTCAATCTAATGTCGGAGGTTTCTAACATGTAACTAAATAACTTTTATTAATTTAAGTGAGACCTCAACGTATTACTTATCAACACTTTACATATCTTAATGGTGATATTTATTAAAATTCTTAAGTTTATTGTTATGGGATAACAAAAGTTTCTAAACGTTTATCATATCTGCCAATTTAGCAACGAATGATTGATTGAATATCACAACAAAAAACGAGTAAATTAAATTAATTATTCTGACAAAACACATTATGCTGCCTGACTAAGAGAAAGGATGCTTTCATACAGGACTTTTGAAGAAAAACTAGCTCATATTTTCGTTACTCAAAGAGAAAACTCTGAAAACACCCATGCAGTCAGCCCGCTCGAGAGGATTCAAACCTTAGCAAAATCATCAGTGATGATTTGTATTATTCATTCTGTAATTTGCGAGGGAGGGAGAGAACCTGAAATTCAAGAATATTTCTAATTTAGTAATTTTAATTAATTTAATTTCAAAGATTTAAAATAATTTAAACTGCATCAGACCAAAAAAGAGCTGTTTTTTGGTCAGAGATTTTTCTCTTAATTTTTAAATAAATAGTGATGCGCTGTAAACATTTGAGTAAATAAATTTTACATGCTATAAGACCTACCTTTTGTATCAACATCTTGTGATGAATGCTTACTTCAAATAATGATAAGCATACATTATAAATTCATCAAAATATAAATTAAGAAAACATTAATATTGCATAAACTTAAGAACCTGTGTAAAGTTTCAAAAGATACGAACTAAGATTAATTAATTAACTTGTAATTTTACTATTTAATGGTATAAAGGAAGCATAGCAGGATCGAGTATTTATTTCTATGAATATTAATGAAAAAAAAGCAACATTAATAACGCAGTTAAGCCTAATGAAAATACGTATGAAACATTTATTCTGCCGCTGTTAAAACAACACACTGGGTTAAAAATAATGGGCAGACAAATACCTATTTAAGTATAAAACAGTAGCGTTAATATACTATAAATACATTCCGAGAGCGTTTTTATGCACGCAACACCCACCAAAGAGAGACTCATTTGTCTAAATATGCACATTTTTCCCCTTTAGTAAGCGGGGGAATACACCACCACCTAAACACTTCATTACTGTCGCAGACAAAAGCCATTTCCC